CAGGTTACAACTGAAAAATATGTTTTGATTCAAGAGTAGAAACTTGAAAGTTTCCTGGTGTTCTTTGGACAGATATCAAGCAGGGGGACATCAGTTCTTGTGTTTCTTAAAGCTAAAGTTATAGCTAATCCACAAAGCCAACATATATTCAAAACAATACACTTGAAGTGCAACACACAAACCTAATTCAATCATAATAATGTTTGGTTGACTGAGAGAAGCAAAATGTAACAACATCAAAAACTCATTTCAGGTTTAGTAATCACAAAGGTCAAACATAGTTTTAAAGTATTTGTGGGTTTAGATGCAAAGAAAAAAAAAGCACATTACTACTCCTCAGTTACAATATAGTAGATTAAATGCAGAAATTTTGACCATAATTCTGAATGTCAAAAAATAAAAGAAAAAAAGGAAGGGTTATTACCTGTGCATTAAAAATTGAGTTATGGGGAAAGAGAAAAGTGCCTGGAGCAGAAGTCATAAAAGGGCAAAAAACTAGCAAGGAAAGGCTATATACAGGATGTTTGTTTTCTCTGTGACTGACTAAAATGCAGACCTGACCAGAGGGACCAAAGCCAGCCCTCCCCTTTTCTCTCTGTGCTCCCACTGAAAGTCTCCAGTGCTACCAGCTGTCTCTGCTTTCCTGCTTTTCTCAGTAGCTTGATCCACTTAGGATTATTGCCTTTCCACAGTCCTGGCTGCTGGAGAGCAGGCTCTGAACAGAGTAGGCAGATCTTTAGTTGGTAAAGGAATGTCTCAGAAGACTTGTAAAGGCAGAGCATGTTGAGAAGATAGATCCATCTATTTTTGATTAATTAGCAGAACATTACTCTACCTGCCTAATGTTTTAAAGTGATACTAAGATGACTAAAAAATATTCCTACCGCAGAACTATCTCATGTAGGCAAAACTAAGTCATTGGCTACTTTTTTTCCCCCAAAATACTCATTTAGCGGTGGGGTTTTTCTGTGTGTATTTGCTATGAACACCTTTCTTACTGACCCCAACAGCCTCTTTTTTGTAGTATGCAGCTTCAAACAAAAATAATATGTTTATCTGGATACTAAAAAGAAAAAAGCAATTAACATCTTGGAAAAGGGCCCACTTTATTACAAAATACCATGCCCCACACACCTGGCTTTCTCAGTACAGGAAATCTTTAGCGTGACTTGACAATAATCTTCTGGATAAGCATCTAAGCCTGCAGAAATCAGTGCACTCAGCCCTGGACTATGCTGCATTTGAAAGCAAAGAAGACCAGCCCAAAGTTAAAGAATAACTGTCATTTTTGGACAGTAAATAGTCTTCTTAGCTAACTAATGTAAATGAAATTCCATAAAATATTCTTCCATTTTGCAGGCAGATATCCTAAACAGATTTCCTAATTCTAATAATACTTAGATTTATTATGCTATTTCTCATTTTTCTATTTCCTCTTTAGTCTGTCACCCAAGGGCATCAATTACTTCTTATTTTTTAGTGTATACTGACTTGATTTGCATAGACATCTTACATGACATATTTCTTTTATTATTGTGCTTCTCTGTGTAAATAATTTTCTAAAATGGTTGCAGTGCTGAGCTAAAATAATATATATATACATTATGTTCCTGATATATTTAGGGCTGCAATCTTATTTCATAAAGCTACAGCATGATTCAAAGGATAAACCCAAAGAAACAAAACCATTGGATTCAAGAACACACTTTCAAAACAACTAAAATTCACAACTAAAATTACAAGGACATGAGAAACAGTATACCAGAGTTCTATAATTTCCAGAAAGAGCATCCAAAACAAACTTCCAAGCCTTTACATATGCTGATGGTTATCAATCTAAATGGCAGACATGATACTCTTATTTGTGAACTATTTCCAGAAGTCCCTACATTTTGTGGAGGTAAATTCCTGGCCCAGATGCCTGTATTCCAATCAGCAGGCAAAGCCTTCAACCCAGCTCTAAGTGCTGCCATCCTGGAGCATGCCTGATGACTGGCATCCCCTGCCCATGCTGCCACTCTGCTCCTATCCTGTAGCTGTGCTCACAAGAAGACAAGACCCTTTGAGGGCAGCTTTTCCCCACCCCAGCAGAGCTCACCAGCTATTTAAGGTATAAAGAGCCACATCTTTGCATCAGAGAATTCATCTCAATTTTTAGAAAACCCCTTCACGTACAGAGTTCTCTTGGTTTCTTACAACAAAACAACTTTACCTTGTCTAGATTATTAAATAGCCCTTGAGGCAGAGAGATGAATGCACTGAAGCCTGTCTTTGCCTCACATGAGGAAAATTGAGGTTACATCAAAATAGGTAAATAGCACTACTACTACTACTATCAGAGATGGGACCCACAGAGACAATCAGAGAATGCCATGTAGCCCTCACTGTGTTTCACCTTGCAACTCTGGATAAGGCAAAGTAAATGTGAAACAAGGCTTTGGAAGGTGCTCCATTCCCCTGGGCCATTATGTGTCTGGAGTTATGGGAGGCAGCAGTGCTTTCTGAGAATATCTAACACAAGACTCTAGCTCAAGACCCCAGACAGATCCACAGATAGGAGTGCCTCCCAGAGCAGACCGCTAAACAAGGAGGTACTTTTGCTTCCCACCCTCTCTCAGCATCTCATTTCGTTGTAGTTTCAGTGGATATTCACTCATCAGGACTCTAAAGTCTGTTCATAACTAAGCCCTGTTATCAGAGAACCTAAAGCTCACAAGTTCTGCAGGCACTTTGGTATCCTTAGTCAGGTGATGCAGTGCTGAGTGCTACAACACCCAAATACCCCAAAGAATCACTTTCATAAATGTATTTCATAGGGACTTTCTAGAACCTCAGCAGATGGAGTTCCATAACTCCTGTGCATACTGCATAGTACCTACACAAATGAGAAGGTCAGGGGCTTGCTGAGAAAATGGTTTATCAACAAGGACTATAGAACTGCACCCCCTGACCTATTATAACAAAACAATATCAGAACTACATGTAAGTGTTCATTACCTTTTTTACATTATGTATTATGTAACTATCACCACACTTGGTTCACTGGTGATTGCAAAAATTAGTTTCTTCCTTCTCTGTTTTTTATAAGATGTCTGAAACCCAGGCAGTGGCACAGGGTATTCCTGTTTCAGAACAAAGTATTGCCCAGTCACACTGGCTAGACAGGATAAGGGGAAAGGGAAGCAATCCATCTTTGCAGAACTGTGTTGCATGGACTTACTATTTTCATCTGGCAGTTTAGTTTATGTGACTGCTGGTCTGTAATATTACTTGTGAAAAATCTCTCTTCCCCTGTTCTCAGCATTACCCCATTAAGCAGGTGGAGAACTTATGCCCAATCTTTATTCAAAGTCACGCTGGCTCCATAGAGGTATTTTAAAACTGACTTAAAGCCAGGCAAAACCTTGACTGGACACCTTTAGTGCACTAGACACTCAATGTACCTAATTTATGACTGAATTACCTGATTTAAGTTTCAGTGGTACAGCCCTGAATATAAATGTGCCCAAAGCTAACAAATTAAATAGCAAAATGCAGCAAAAAGTCTGAGCATTCTAGCAGTTCTTTGGAGAGATGCCAAAGTTTAATAGCACAAACAGAATAAATAAACTCTATGAACAAATCAATTTTTCAAAGATAACATCTGTTCTGCACTGGCTCCTGGTGTGAATAGATTCATCTGTGCACACATAAAAGTGGGCTAATGGGATTCAGTGTGCTCCAATACCCATCAGTATGCTTTGTCTTCATCAAAAACTCTAATGTGGATGGGACTCCAAAAGTTTTTTCTGAAACAAGCCAAACAACTTATACCTATTTTGCAAACTGTTTCATACAAATCATTACATAAATTCCATAGAATCAAAGCCTGAGGATATTTACTCAGAAATGTAAACAGAGGAAGGAGTCTGAAAATCTGTCTGAGATAAACTGTTTCCCCCTGGTTCCAATTTTTGAATCTTGCACTTTTCGTAACTTCCTAAACACCAAAACTGTGCTGTGCTGGAAGTCTTGTGACTGCTTCCACTTATGCTATGCTTCATCAATTTAAACCAAATTTTCCACAGATCATGAGACACAACCTAGTTATAATAAATATAAAAGAAGATACATGAAACAAGTTGCAAAAAGATCTTTTATCTTTGTTTTATGAGTCCTCTCAAGGAGCAGAAATCAATTCTTTAGCTGGGTAGAAATTAGACTTAACATTATGCTGTGCATAAACACATATTAAATCTAAAACTATTAAAATTAACTGTGCCTTCAGACAGCTCCATCACACAGATTATAAGGAAAATGGTGGATTTAGCATGTCGAGTTCTTCCTCAGTACTTCAAAGTTGAAAAATGTTAGTTTAGTTTCTTTTCTATAACTTGATTTCCCACTATGACTTTACAAAAACCCTTTAATGCTTTCTTTTGGTTTTTTTTTCCCCAGTATGATTTTCATCACATCTTGCTTATGATGTAAAGTTATAGTGTCCTTGTAAACACAACCCTTGCTAGCAAACAAAATTATTAATTATTAACATGAGTTTTTAGTTTGAGGACAGATACCTGGACATTATGTTATTCTAACATGTCCTGGGAACTGTGCAGTAGAGGGGAAGGAAGCAGTATCCTGTAAAACCTGAGAAGAGAGGCTGCGTAGACTGGGTCAGAATCTTCCTTCATGTGTGATAGGACAGCTTCACCTTCCAGCAGCTGCTGCACCAACAGTGTTGCTGCAGTGCAAAAGTTGAAGAACTCGGCTGGTTCCTGATCTCAGCTATCACCTCCTTCCTTCCATTGCATCCCTCACATTTCACAGGTGAAATGCACAGGTTCAACCCAAGACTTGGCATGAGGCTGTACCCACTGCAGCCATCGCAGAATGGGCCATGCGGAGGGGCAAGGAGAGAGGGAACGCAATTTGGCCATCGTGAGAATGACCTAAGCTCTGACACCACACCATTAAGAAATTTTCAATTTCAGCCCCAATAAGACTCAGATAAGCAGCTGTGATTGACAGCAACATTAATTCAACTGCAGCCAGCTTCAGGATCAGATAATATTCAGTAGCAGGAAGAAAATTGGCACATTAATGCCCAAAAGCCACAGAGAAACTCATTTTGAGGAAATCACTTGTGCACTGGGTAAAAGGGTACTGAAAGAAAACAGAACAAAAACAAAACAAAACAAAATTATTAATTATTTCTCAGGGTTTGAGTTTTTACATTTTCTAGTTTTAATTTTGATCTTTAATGGTGAGTAGGCACCATTTTAATTGTAAATCTCTTTTTATATTTAACATTTGGGGTGAGGTATGATGGAGAATGTGTATATAGACATTGTGATAGAAAACTCCTGCACAAAATTAATGGAAAATCATCAGCTTATTTTTTTATTATTACTTCCGTACTCTGTTCTCAGAACAATCAGTAGCAAGCTATAGGCTCTGTTGTGCTCAACACTGCACAAACACCAAAGTTTTCTCACACAGGATAGCAACCTGCAAGACACAGTACCATAGAGAGATACAGATAATTTCTTTCTATACCTCTATCACATAGTATATTATTTTTTATAATATTATAATATTTTAAGGAACTTGAAGTATTTAAAGCCTTTCTGAAGTATTTGTCTAAGAAAACTCAGTGGAAGTGAGAGGGACAACACAAAGAACATGCTGTTTGGAAAATGTAATAAGTGGATAACATCTGCTAAGATGATGACAAACAGAGGTAGAAGGACAATTCTTAATCCTGAGTGAGAGAAGAATGAAGGGGTGGGATTTATCTGTGAAAATTATGTCAAGCAGAAAACCCAGGGAAAAAGACAAGAGTCAGAAGGAAGAAGAAATAAAAAGGGAGGACGTACTGCGTACATGAATCCCCTGGGATTAAGAATGACAAATCATCACCAAGTCCCAAATCTAGGGGATAAGTAAACAGCTCCTTAGCAGGATCCCACTCTTAATAACAGCAGCACACCAAAAGGCTTTGCTCTTCTAAAACTGCAGTGTTTCAGCTCCAAAAGTTAGAAAATATCTCTACTATTTCCATTCAGCATGCAGTGTGCACTATGTTACAAACCAACATTTTTCCACAAGAGCCTATTTTTTCCATCAAAACAACTTTGTTCATGTTTGAATGCTCAGTGCACATGCTACTACTTTTTCTATCCACCTTCCCATTGGGGGCTTTGCCCATCTGCCAGCTCTCCATCCAAACAGGAGTGAATACAGCATGACAAGCTGACGATCCTCCTCTCCCAACCCAGTAATCTAGCTTGCTTGACAGAATCTTCCAGTCGCAAAATTCATCAAATTATGCTGTTCCTTGTCCCGTGTTACTATCTCCCAACTCCTCCAAGTTCACACAAATTTTCATAGTGTAAGCACAAATGCACATGTATAATAGTTTATCTTGGCATCTAAAAGACAATGATCATTAGGACAGGTCTAGAACTGGAGGAGGGAAGAAAGTGAATCACAGATGTATTCCAAAACAATCATCCCTTGGTTACCAAAAAAACATTCAAAACGGAAATGTTTATATGAGTTCAAATGGCTTTTAGGTAGAATTGCACTGCCAATAAGAAAATCAAATTAATATTATTTCTGGTATTTGAATTTCCTGCCCTTTGCTAGGTCACCCCACACACACATACACACACAGAGGGATCAACCATGCCTTAACTGAAAGTCAAACCCTGCAGGTACAGACCATGCAATATTGAGTAAACCAAAATGACTTGATACAGTAGACGTACAGATACTACCTGGGAGCTGGGACCTGCCAGTCTCAATTCCTCAAGGAAACTGGAGACTATTTTCTGTGCATTGCTGAAGCGAGGAACAGAACTTGAAGTGGAGGTAGCTCAGCAGTTTATAGCCAAAGATTGAATGAGTTCTCTGTTTCCTCAGTGACAGACCTGAGATGCAGGCAAATAAAACAACCTGACACACAGAATCTCAAAACGATGATAGGTCTGTTTCAAGTTCCATTTCATTTTTATACAAGCACAGAAGCCTGATTTAACCATTCAGACAATGTTACTTGCAGCCATAAAAGATAATCTACTGTCATCTTTTCTTCCAGGATAAAAAGTCTTCTGCTTGCCTCTCAATATGAGTTTCTTTGTCAAAACTGTGAGGTCAAAAGAGTGTTCTGCTATTAAACCTTTCTGCAGCTTAAATTCATTCCACTTCATGTGTGACAGGCTCCTTTCAGTTTGCTCACCTGAGAAGGTTCACAGGACAATGCCTCAGTGCCCCAGAGTGACAGGAGAGGAAACATGCACGTTTCAGGCACTTCTCATGTGTCAGAGAGCTTTACTGTAAGTGACAATCAGCGTGATACTGGGAAAAACAACTAGAAATAAGAAAATCAAGGAGGGAATGATACAGAGAGGGCATAGCATATTTTATAGTAACTGATATTCACAAACACAAGAAAGGACAACCATGCAACACCACCAGATCCAAAGCCCTCGATTGCCAAGACTTGGTCCTGAGGCACACCCCATGTACTCTCTCTTCTCTTTCTAAATGCCCTTTATTAGATAGCCCAGGCCGGCTAAACAGGAAATTAATTTCTTATCTGTCTTTAAATGCATACTATTCCCTTTTGTCTCCCTCAGATAATAATGTCCCATGAGGCAACATACCTTATGTGCCTTACTTAAAACCACATATATAGATTTGATTTGCTACTTCAACCTTGTCTAGGCAAACAGGTCTTATCAAAGACAGATACTGGTCTAATCTGACACAATTGGCTTTTGTTAAAAACACATTGCATTTTATCCAATTTTCCACGTAACTCCATGTCCTTGAACTACCCTTTGCCTTCAAGAGTGGTTCAAAGACTTTGTTTAGTACTGGGGTCAGACATACATGGCCATCCTCAATCCAAAATACTTACAAATCTGTCCTTGACTACTATCATAAGTCAGACAAAGCTGTATTAAATGTGATGGTCAAATTTTTTTCAACTGAAAAATCAGCTTTCAACTGAATGAAAAAGCCCTTGGAAAAATTCTGACTTTCACTGAACTGTCAGGCATCTAAGCCCAGAATTATTTCCTACTGAGAAATCAAAGATATTTTATTATAAATGATAATCTAATGTCTTGCAGAAATTTAGTTCAAATGCCTCACTGATCAAACAGCTTTCCTGAGGGTAGATCAAGAACTACTATGAAAAAATCTGGAACAACACCTTCTATCAAGCACAGATACATAAAATAATAACTTAGGACAGGCCAGACTTCCTAAATTATTTGGCATATACACCTCCAGACTATAGACAAGAGAGCTCTTGTCTACTATCTAGATGTGTATAAACCAGAAATACCACAGAGCTGCTCCAATGGTGCTCTGGAAAACAATTAGCTACAGAGGGAAAAATACATGTTTTTAAGTAAAGGTGTCTTATCTAGACCATGGTAATGCCAATGATCCAAATGAACGAGAGGAAATTGACCCTGTAGGGTATTTCTGTGGGCTGAGGAAGAGAGGCAACCTTATTTAAATATTTCATGACATTGACACTCATAAATGATTATTCATCAGCTACTGCCACATTATTAAGGTTTGTGGCCAGAAGCTGATCAGACTCCTGGAGACCGTAGCAGTATCTCTGTGCTGGAGTTCACTTAACTCCCCAGAAGAGGAGCATCTGCCCCTGGGAGAGAAACTGTCACAGGCAGAGGGACTGGGAACACCCTGCCCCAGCCCAGCTCCCTCCCTCACTGCTGCACTCCAAGGTCCAGACATCCACAGCTGGGCACACAGGTTTGCTCCAGCTCCTTGGGGAGCAGGGGGAGTGGCACCACTGGCCAGGCAGAAAGGAGGGAAAAGCAGTCCTTGTCCAGGAGAAGCAGAGACTATGCAAAACACCAGGATAGGAACTGGAGAGCACAGGAGTGAAGAAAGTCACAGCATGCAGAGGGGATGGGCCCAGCTATCCAGGGGCACACACAAAACTACTTACTGTAGATACTGCCACTGCCTGGTAGTTTCACTGCTGTTCACCAGGAAAACATTTGTCAACATGATGTTCATGGAGACTGAGCCTACTTAACTGGGCTTTAAGTCACCTTCTGTGACAGGACTGAAGGTATCTATTGCCAGGGACACCCATTTTGTTCAACATCTGCAGTAAAATAAACATCTGAGCCCCTGAAAGCCGTTTATCACTAATCATGTTCTGGCTGAGATGGTGTTTTCCCTTTGCACCTTGCTAACAACAGTTCTGTAGAAATAGAGGAATATCTGAACTGGTGTCAATTTCCACAAGATCTACAATGGAGTTCTGAGATTTTTTTCCAGAATAAGAGAATAGTCTATTACTGTAATTGTATTCTTATATGTCAGAGATAGGAGTTTAACAAGAACAAAAAAGCTAATTCAAATCTAAGTACATGGCACAAAGGATTTTTCTCAATATGCTAAATTAGTTAAGTGTTGCTTTGTTGACAAACTTCAAACTAATAATTATAACTGAGTACAAAGCCAATACAGGACTGTAAAATTCTTTGAAGAACTACAGGTTCACACACAAAGACAATGCAGTACTTATTCCACTTCTGGAGAACAAAGAGGAGTTAAAATGATGTGCTCCTACAAAATTCTAGCAAGATAAATGAAGCAGAGCTAAGTAACTAGATAGGGTTTAGCAAAAGTAGTCACACAGACATAACCCAGGACAATTAGGAACCTCCCAAAAAAGTGTCATTTGAAGACTGTATATTTCTTCAGATATAAATCAACTAACTTAGCAGAGGGAATGAACTTGAACAAGTACTTCTGTGGCTTTCCTAGCAACAAATACTTTCTAAAGGTGTTAATTAAACTAATAAAGCCTGAATTTTAGGCTGCACATGGTCTTTTACATTATCGAGTCTGAATTCCTGGCCATCAGAGACACAATTTTCATCGTGTATTGATTTCAGAAATTTGTGCATGCAAAAGAATACCAGGTGTCAGGAAGGTATCCATTCCTGATCAGAAAATACCAGCAATGAACATATCATTACTTCCCTTAGGAATGTCTACCACTGAGTAGCCACTTGCATCTTTTATCACAGATTTAGTTCATTGCCTGAATTAATTTATGTTTTTAAATATACATTCCACTATCATGTTGCATGTTTTTCATGAAAAGGTACTTGAAAAGTTCATTAAGTCACTATTTTTCTTTTTCATTTATTTTTGGTATTTTTCAGAAGAATGAGTGGGTTTTTTTTCAGGAATGCAATTACAAGAAACATTTGTATGAGAACAGCTTGCCAAGCAGTCGAGGTATGGTTACATTACTGTTCTGTCCTTACCAAGATTTTGTCTGCATCATCCACATGTTCTTCCATGAGCAACTTCGTAGTGGTGAAATTACTGAATATTAAATTTTCCATTGACCTCTCTCAAACCAGCATTGCAACATTCACCAATTCATGGCAGCTCTTCACTGGCAAATACTATCTAAAAATCCATCAACCAGTCAATTCTTAACCAATTCAATTCTGTCTTATTGATACTGTAGAGAGAGAATTTATCATCATGCTTTTCCAAATGCCTTAACAAAGCTCATTAAATGCAAGTCATTTTTATCAGACTTGAAATTTCATCTCAGGATAAAATCAGATTGGTCTGGAAAGATCTATTTTCTATAAAAACATTCTGAACAGCTTTATATGTAGGTAAAATACATGTTATTGTTCCTGTGTTACAGTTCTCTTCTTCCTTAAAAGACACAGGAAAAAAATTCTACAAACAACCTAAAGGAGCAATGGTCATATTACAGAGGTTGGAGGTTTCTAGAACCAAACATACACCAGAAAATTTACTTTTAGAATTTCTATTATGTAATTTTAAACTAGTTATAATTCACTAATAAAAAAGGCAACCCAGTATAGTTTTTGACAATTTATAATATTAAACCTATTTTATACTTGGTCCCCAGATCACTGTAAACTGTATTATATATATAAATGAAGTCTACTCTAAAATTTCTTGAAAATGTAAATAATTTCTAGTGAAAGCAGCAATTTCCAATTCTGACAAAACCAAAACTTTTATTTGAGCCTTTGCTCTTCCCCTTTTTGTTTTAAGGATCTGGCTTGAACTTTCCAAGCAGCTCATTTCCTGGGACAACTTTGCATCTTCTAAGGATGTACCTTGATGCCAGCAATTTCTATACTGCAGAGTTACATAAAAATCATTAAGTACTCAAAAATATGACTGCTACTGCTAAGATACCCAGTGAGCTTAGCAATGTGTTTTAAGTTTCCACACTCTCAACAGGTTTTTTTGGCAGGCTGAAGTTTCTATTTTGGGGTGGAGAGGGTTGTGGTGTATTTGGAATTTTTTTGCCTTTTTTTTTTAAGGTGCCATTGTGGATTTTGATTTTAAAAATTATTAGGAGTTACCATTCTCTTAATATGGAATAAGTGACCCCCGGGTTGGATTATTAATTAGCAAGACAAATCCAGATGTAGTGGGCCATACCAGAGCACTGGAAAGCCTTGCTAAGTCAGGTGTCTCTGGCAGTGCTGCCCCTCATTTTGGCAGGAGCTTGGAGGACTCCATGACCTCAGTCACTGGTGGATATGCCAAGGAATGCCTTGCCTGTGAGTCTTAATGGCAAAGCTCTGGACAAGCATTTATTACAGTTCCCCACAAACAACTCAGCCCTTAGACCACACATTTGAAGAACAAATCAAATATCAGTATACACTATATTCAGATTTTTCACTTCCAATCACCTCACAGGACTTTTGTAGTTCACACACAGAGTCTCATCCACTGCTCTAACTCACAGAGAAAGCTGAAGGCTTGTCAGAGCTGGAGCTGCTCAAAGCTCTTCTACTTGGTCCCAACAAGACTTCAGTTCTTCCCTTGATCTTCCGTTCCCTGCCCTGGAATGCTCAGGTTGTTACTGAGTTAGCTCTGGCCACACCATTACAGAAGATCAATTATTTATAGGACCTGGCTATCCATGATCCTCTCTTAGGCTTCGAAGTCACAGGCAGGTCCCATTCATAGGCGTTTTGGGAAGCCAAAGCAAACAAGGCAGCTAAGATAAATCCTTAGCACTGAAGCAGAGAAGAAGGGACCATGTTTCCCTTCCACAGCAGGCTGTAGTGATAAAAATGTGCTGCACTGCTCAAGAAGGAAGTTCCCTCTACAAACAACAAAATTCTGTCAGAACCCCAAGGTGTCAAGTGTCCTCAAGTGACCAAATTCCATCTTGTGCTCTCTCATGGGAAAAACAGATAAATGAGTTTAGCTATCTAAATGTTGTGATCCAATCCAGCAGCAGCTACCAACCAACAATCTGACCATACAAAAAAAAAAAAAAAAAAAG